GTCTTATTTTTGCTGTTGGAGCGAGAGATCAGAGAGCCCAGGGCGTGGTTGGTTGCAGTTGATTGGTTGCAGTGTGTTTTGATTCTGTGTGTGCTGGCTTAGGTTAGCCATTTTGATTTGTATGTTGTTGGGGGGGGGGTCAGTCATTTTCTTGTTGGCCTGTGTATGTGATAAAGGGGAGCCACATGGGGGTGAAGGTGTCCTTTGTTTGTCTCTGTGATAGTTTCAATTTGTTGGTCAGTTTACATCCCCATAGTTTTGGTTCAGTCTGCAGGAACTCTGGCTAGGGAATCTATGAACATGGCAGTGCTATGAATGAATGATGATGCTTTCCTGAAATGCTTCAGCGTTTAGCAAGTGAGTCTCCATGCCATCAGCATGGACTATGCACACATATGAATGATGGAAGCCTTACTTATTAAAGAATGTGGATGGAAAGCTGACTTGAACACATCACTGCTGTGCTGGAGACAAGCCATAGTTGCTAGCTAGTGCTGCAAGAAGCCTATGTCTTCTATACAAAAGAGCTATGTGTAGTAGCAGCCATCTCCCAGTTCTTCTACTAAAGATTCAGCTTGTAATTTTAATTCTAAAAAGAGTCATTGCCTGCAGTCATGCACCCAGATATGCATACTTAAGTCCCATTGATTTCCCATAGAAGTTTGTGCAGCTGGGCCTAGGATTGCACTTAAGTGTATTTATTAATAGATTTAAGCAACTGTGTAATTAAGGGGATAGCTTGCATGGCTTGGTTAAATATAGGCAATGATTTCACTAACATCAATAGTACATTGTGAGTAACAAGTGCCAGGTATTATTTTACTATTCAGCCTCATTAACCAAACAAGGGTGGGTTCTTTTGTTTATTTATTTTTTGGCATCTTTGACTTCCTCAGACTGAAAGTCATTAGCAGTGACAATACATAACACACACTGATGAATTGTCTAGTCTTAAGTGGTTGATCCATGAATCAACCTAGATCGGGCTGTTAATTAAAACAACTATAACTAATGGTATAGTTGTTTTAATTAACAGTCTGATTCTCCACCTGGTTACACCAAACACCTTTGACATTAGCCAGTTTAGCCCCACTGAACTCAAGAGGAGGTGGGGGAGAATGAGAGAGAGAGAGAAATGAACAGTGAAATCTTATGTATGTTTGCTCATAACTAAGTCCTACTGTAGCCCTCAGGTATTCCAAACAGCGATAAAGTGTGCTGTCTTGTCCATCTTCCTCACTGTTTCCATCACTTTCAACCTGTAGAACAGAAAATTTCAAGCTTTTGGGGTCCATGGCTCCCTTGACCAACTACATTCTTTCTGCAGCACCCCTGTGGGGCTCAGGAGCCCAGTTACGGCACTCCTTGCCTGCAGAGCTGGCAGCCTCTCACCCTTTTTCAAACACCCTCCCTTGTGGAGTGTTCCCTCAGCTTCCTCTCCTCTCCCCTCTCCTTGGAGGTCCTCCGGGCAGCCTCTGCTTCAGCAAACAGCTGTTCACACCTTTGGGAGGCAGGGATGTGAGAGGCCATCAGAGAAGGGAGGGAGGGAGGAAAGAGGGACATAGGCCAGTGTTGCCTGTGGCACCCCTGACCATCATTCAAGGGATCCCAGGGTGCCATGGCACACTGATTGAAAACCACTTCTATAGAAGATGACCGTTGGTAGCGTGGAGCCTTTATACCTGTGGGTGCTCCCCTCCCACCTGCGTAACAGAACTCTATGTAATTGCAGGGTTCTGAAATGTGTGGGCAACGCCTGCAGATGAATAAGGTTACCCATTGCAGACCTTCCATGATTTGGAAGGCAACAGAAACAGTGATGGAGGGGTGAAGCTAGTGTGTTTGTCCTTGCTTTCTCTCCTCCTCCCTCCTATTTCCTTTCCCCTATTTGGAGTGCCTAAAAAGGCCTAATGTCCAGGGAAGCATACCGTATTTTTCGCCCTATAAAACGCACTTTTCCCCCTCCAAAAATGAAGGGGAAATGTGTGTGCATCCTATGGGGCGAATGCAGGCTTTCACTGAAGCCTGGAGAGCGAGAGGGGTCAGTGCGCACCAACCCCTTTCACTCTTCAGGCTTCAGGAAGCTATCCGCAAGCCTGGGGAGCCCACGGGAGTTCCCGCTGGGCTCCCTAGGCTTGCGGATAGCAGCCTGTTCTGGGGGCTTGGGTCCCAGCCCCACGCCTGGGGGGGAAATAATTGTTTTTCTTTATTTCCCCACCCAAAAAACTAGGTGCGCCCTATGGGCCGGTTGGCCCTATGGGGCGAAAAATACGGTACTTCCTAGCAAGTATTTTTACAGCCAAAGTCAAGTACTATAGTTGACTTGGGTGGTAGTTTGGATTGTTTTTTAAATGATATTTATCTTTATTACCTTAATGAACAAAATTTGTATACCACTTGCTCAGTTAAAAAAACCCTCCACAAGTACCTCTAAGTGGTTTACAAAGGACAAATGTATCTTTCTGTATTTAATTTTATTCACTAAACAAAGCCTACTGGTATATATATATATATTTCTCTTCTAAGATCCTGATCTTGTACTTTTATCAACTATTTGATCTGTGAGTATTTGCGGAAAGTAATACTAGAAATAAGTAAATATATTAATGCTATAAATAACTAAAAAGTAATTTCTAGGCTATAAATAATATCAAAAGAACCTTTAAAGGCATAGCAATGGGCCAAGCTTTTTTTCTTTTCTTTTTTACAACTCTATATGAGATATTTGTTTTACTTATTTGTAAAATGTTTACATACCACTACATCATAACAATCATAGTGGTTTACAATATTATCTATACAGTCGTACCTCGGAAGTCAAACAGAATCTGTTCTGGAAGTCCGTTCAGCTTCTGAAATGTGGTTTCTGATTGGCTGCAGGAAGCTCCTGCAGCCAATCAGAAGCCGTGGAAGCCCCGTCGGATATTCAGCTTCCAAAAGAACATTTGAAAACCAGAACACTCACTTCCAGTTTTCAATTGTTTGGGAGCCGGAACATTTGACTCCCAAGGCGTTTGGGAGCTGATGTACGACTGTATATGTAAAAACACATAGAAAATGAAATCAAAGGCCACCCCCTATTTATTATGGAAAGATGTATTCTTAATTGGAGAGCCAGTGTGGTGTAGTGGTTAAGAGTGGTGGACTTGTAATCTGGTGAACCGGGTTCGCTTGCCCACTCCTCCACATGCAGCTGCTGGGTGACCTTGGGCTAGTCACACTTCTCTGAAGTCTCTCAGCCCCACTCACCTCACAGAGTGTTTGTTGTGGGGGAGGAACGGAAAGGAGAATGTTAGCCGCTTTGAGACTCCTTTGGGTAGTGATAAAGCGGGATATCAAATCCAAATCCAATTGCCTCCTTCCTTCCTTTTCTGTACTTGGAAAGCCCCTAAGGAGTAAAATAAACAGATTCATTTAAGTAGGAGCCTAGGAAGCTGCCTTATACTCAGTCAGATCATAGGACCATCTAGTTCAGTACTGTCTACACTGATCGGCAGCAGCTCCCCAGGGTTTTCCAAGCCTACCTGGAGTTGCCAGGGGTTCAACATGAGACCTTCCTCAGGCAAATCAGTTCTCTGCCACTGATCTGCTGTTCTTCATCTATATATGTATTCTACATGCCCATATCATATAATAAAGATCATGGGAATTTTTGAACAGAAGTATTCAGGTCTTGGTGTTATTTAAAGACTCCTAATTTTTAATGTGCCTTTTGGACTTTATTTAGCTATGCAAGATATCACCATATTCAGTATTTTATATATATATATATAATAAACATGTCTAGTCAAAGAAAGCATTAATGAAGCAATTCCCCAAATAAAACAGCCCATCATATCTGAGTTGCAGCAGAGAGAAAGTGTGGTCTTTGTAGTTTAATCAAGATCACAAGACTTGTTTTGAGCGTCTGTCATCTTTAATTTTACGGCACTTCATTTCAGAGTGGGACTGCCAGGGTCACATGCAATTAAAACACAGGCAAGATTTGTCTTGTGAAATCTTCACATAAAAAGTAATGTGTTACTCTATTTTAACTTTTCTACTGAACTCTGTGAACTCACTAATTACTTTTCCCCCTCTTGTCACCTTTTTGATATGACATGGATTTTACAGAAGAGGGAAGTTTGGAATATTTATCTCCAGCGCGCACGCGACCCCCCCTTCCCGAATCAAGCATACGATTGAGGATAACAAAATTAAACCCAAGCCGGGGTGGGGGGTGGTGGGGGGTGGGAAGAATTGTATATTAGGGTGGGTGGGTGGAAATCTTGAGTATTGCTGCTACCCTTACAAAGGGACTAGTGGATCAAATCCAAGGGAATAACCATTAATCTGCTTAACAAGGGCAGGTAGGAGAAGAATAGCAAGCCGAGGGTTTTATTGAGGCCAATCTCATGAACCCATGCTTAGTCTTTTTTGGGGGGGGGGAGGGTAAAAGAGACTTCCGTGCGGTGGACCATGAAAAGCGATAAAGACCGAGGCCTCTGTGCTTCCTTTATAGCCCAGGCTCTGTTGTTGCTATGTTGTGGCCATCGGTAAATTGCACAGACCCTTATTAAGCTTATTGATAAGGAGCTTAGGGGAAGTTCCATTCAGTCCGTGGTGCCTGCTCCTTTTTGTTCTCCTTGCCTTCCCAGTGCACAAACCCTCCTCTCTTTGTATGGGGAAGAAACCTTTATGCTCCACCTCAGGATTCTGCACCACTGCTCTCTTCATTTGGGTTGGAGAGGCATGTGGGAACCATAGAGCAGAAAGGAGAGAGGAGCAGAGCTGGCAAAAGAGCAGGGGGAGGGCGCACGGGCTTATTTATATGTGCCGGAGACACCTGGCGAAGGCCTGCGAAAACAACAGCAACCAGACTTCATGCTTCCCAAGAATCTTTTATATCACTCTCCTTTCCGTGCAGCTGGAATCCATGGGGATCAGGGGATTATTTTTGATACCTGTCTAAAAGAGTTATGTCTACCCCGATTTCCACCCCGACTTTCTAATTAACGGCATTGTATACAGGAAACACTCTCTTTTAATACCTGCATTCTTTCAGTAATAGCCCGGTGAAAGAAAAAGAGAGTGTGGAAAATTTGGTTAGCAATTTGCCCTTTTGAAGTCATCTTGGAGTTTCCAGTCCTAGCAACTGTGACCTGAAAACTGATTACTGTTAAATAGGGGGGAGCCAGGCTGGCAGGGTGGAGAGAATGGCTGGCACTTAGAGCTTCAACAGACAGGACTGGGAAGTCCCCTCCATGTACCTGTTTTTATGCTGAGGCATAGTGAAAGAGCCCCTTTTTGGACTTCCTTGCATTATCGCAGGTGCTTCCATTTCTAGGTCACCGTCTTCCTAGCAAAGCGCCTATGTCCCTGCATTCTCTCTTTTAACGTTGCTTTCTTTTGGGTGGTGTGAATACAAGAACTTGATGGTGAGATATAGATGGAACACATAAAAAATAATAATTCACAGCCCCAAACAAGAGGCATTAAGGCAGCCTGCCCCAGCCTGCCCCCACCAACTGTTTGGGAGCCCCCAGTTTGCAGGGCCTGTGATCAACAATGATGACAATTGTAGCTGAAATTTTTTGGAGGGTTCCACATGGGATCCCCTGGGTATATATGATGGAAATGATTTGAGAGATGAATCGCCCATTGTTGTTGTTGTTGCTGCAGTTATTAAATTCAATTTTTATCGTGCTGGCATAGGCTTTGTACACAGTTAAAACAGACGCACTGAATCCTGGGAACTTTGTTTGTTACGGATGCTGGGAATTGTAGCCCTGTGAGAGGTAAACTACAGTACTATGATTTTTTGAGGGGAAGGGTGCTCTTTAAAGATGCTTTAGATATATGGTGTGTGATGGGAGTTGTAGCCCAGAATAGCTAGATGGCACCTAGTTGGTTGCATCAAGGAGTGCTACGGAAACGATGTTTGAGGAAACACTCAAAGCCCAGCTTTAAACTGCAGGATATTCCAAGGGAGGGTGAGATCAATTGCCTGACATACCTCACCGTAATACCAGGTGAAGTGTTTTCCTTTGCCTGTGTGGTCTGAGCTCAAACCACATGAGCACAAGCACAGGGATTTGCAAGTGCCAGCGATCAGTTGTTCGATGGTGCGTTCAAACCCTACTTTAGGCAGGAATCCACCACTTTACCTGTTCCACACCTGACTTTATATATGTCAGAAGATGTTGGGCAGGGGGGCGTGTCTTGGGGAATCTATTCTAATGGGTCAGATTAGGACTGCAGCTGTGCTTTGTTAACCCCATAGGCTAACAGTTCCTCTTTGTGGATTGCAGGTGCTTTCAAATAATACGCTTTCCATATTGCAAATTAGGACCCACTTGTGCAGGCCTATTCCATTCATTTCCTCAAGGCTTTCCCTCTTCCATTTTGTCTTGTCTTGTAGAGGATACACATCAATGCTGTGGATCAGCAACATAACCCCAATGGAAGCTTAAATCTTCGTGATCTAAGCAAGGCTGATGGAAAGATCTATGGGTACTACAGTCACCGTGGGTCAGCTATGACACTCCCCTACAAAAAAGGAAGGCCAAACAAGCTTTCTACAGCACAATACCTCCCACTGCATCCTCCTTCAGTTGCAAGGGTGAAGGTGGGGAATTATCATTGAACTTTCTGAACATATAGCCTACTGAAAGATCCCAGCATAACTGGGTAGGGTTGCTTTTCCTCCAATTTCATACTGAAGCACTAGATTCAAATTTTCATTTTCACAACAACAGTATGGCAAATTGTCATCTTTTTTGCGCACAGCTGTCTCGGTATTCTCATAATTTGAATGATTCAAGATCACTGTCTGGCAGCGTGAATCACAGCATGCCCCCGTGCCTGCCTCTTTTTCAATTATGTCTAAGAGGAAGACTGCTGGAGACCCATTTTTTCATCTTGCACAGGACCCCAAAAGTGCCAGATCTCATTTCAATATAATATGAGATGGTATGTTGAAGTAGATGTTAACAGGGCGCTGAAAGAGACAATCTATGGGGAGAAGATCAGGCATTACAGTGTAGGGCAGACACTTTATTAATGCACTTTTTATGAACACAGAATTAGCATCACAAACAGAGGCCCTGTCTTTAACATATTGATCCCCATTTTATTGTTATCTGCACACCTACACACTGAATCAACATATTATTTTGCACTTTAAAAAAAAAAACCCATACAAGCATGTGGGAGGTCATGTTTTAGGCTAAAGAGAGAATACACACAAGTTACAGAATAAGGATTAAAGTTTGATCCGATCTATGTATACTCAGAGTTATATCTCATTGTGCTCCATGGGAATCGTTCCCATTGTACATACGATTTCAGCCTGGCTGCAGTTTCATGCATGTTCACTTGGGAGTTAGCTCATTGGGTTCAGTGGGTCTTACTTCTAAGTAAACCAAAGGCCAGTTGTACTCGTCCCAAAAAGGGGGGGGGGGTTCATGCAGTCTTTTAAACAGCTCAGGACTGCAATACCACAAGGACCGCCTCTTCTCATGTGAACCAATCTGGACCCCGTGACCATCATCTGAGGCCCTTCTTCATATGCCCCTTCCACGAGACCCAGAGGGTGTCAACATGAGAATGGCCTTTTCTGTGGTGGCTCCCTGCTGGTAGAGTGTTCTCCCCAGGGAGGCTCACCTGACACCTTTGTTACATAGCTTTAGACGCCAGGTGAAAGAATTTCTCTATAACCAGGCCTTTGGCTAATTAAACTATATATGGCCTTTTAAACAGTGTGTGTGGTGGTCATGTTGTTACGTATTTACGTATTTTTATAATGTAAACCGCCCTGTGATCTTCAGAAGAAGGGCAGTATATAAATTTAATTGATAAAGGATATAAAAAAATAAGTGCCCCATGTCCAGTCCCCATATCATTGCCCCCTGAAAAATGCAGCCTTGTGTAGCTGATGGCTATACTTTGGTAAACTTTACCAATTCCTTTAAAATAAAATAAAAGTGCTGTCAGGATTTAGGGTCAACTTGCCATTTGTTTGAATGAGTGTGGCCATTTCAGTGCCTTAAAACATTAGGGAAGGGATGTGTAGCTTAGTGATAGAGCAAGTGGAGTGGGCAAGTTTCAGTTCTTGGCGTTCCCAGTTAAAATGATTGGGGGCGGGATTGGTAAGCAATGGGGAATCTCTGACCCATGGGGACTAAGGCAGCCTATGAGGTCTCTAGATCTGACCTGTCTCCCCAGCCCCCCCCCCAGAGTTCACCTGGCTAGATTAAGTGTGGGAAGGGGAGCTGTCACATTTAAAATGATCAAACTTGAGAAGTAGAACAACACTCAGCATCTTTTTGTTGTTATTTTTAACAGGCAAATGTCAGCCACGTCCCCAGCATTTGAAAAATGCAGCTGATACGGATGCTGAAGTGAAAATAGAAGCTGAAATGCATTTTTGTACCATTGCTGGAAGCCTGCAACACGGTATGGCTCTACTAAGTGCTTTTGTCTTTATATTGGGGGCTGGGGCTGCACCTAAGAGTGTGCAGTTTGCCCTATTCCAATGGAAGCAGCAGATACATGCATGCAGAGGAATGTACATGTAGATCGGCAGTACACAATTAATTAGGCAGCACTTAAGAGTGGCATTTGGCCTCTGACACCCATCAGAAAAGAATTTTCTGGACCACAGCAATTGACTCCAAAACATGGTTCTATGAGAAATAAGAAAGGAAACCATTTATTAATAAAACATTCATTGCGCCACGGGATAAGAGATCTTTCTTTATTGTTTAGCTGGCTCATTTATTGTTGATGTCTTTCTCACTCACCCAAACACACACACACACACACACACACACACACACACACACAGACACCGCTGAATATGCAGAGTACCTCTAAAGTCCTTTTGCATTTTTAATAAGGGTTGGGGTTGTTTTATATAAAAAAGATACTAGTGCAAGAAGAAGAAATCGTAAGCTGGCATAAATACTTTATAGCACTATGGTTTCGGAAAGGAAAGCTCACTGGGAATTGTGGTTAAAAAGAAAAGCAGTTTGGGGACAGAACATATACCTGTGCTGTGTTGAAGGTGTCTTCCAGTATATTTATATTTCCCTCTCAGCTTCTGTAATTTAGGTAAATGGGTCCTAGCTAGTAGTGTTTGAGTGGAGAAGGATAACGTATTGCAGTGTGGGCTCACCCTTTCCCATCAATAAACAAATAGGAACATAGGAAACTGCCTTCCTGGTATTCACCCAGCTGCCTTTGAAGAGTGCTCAAAAAAATCAACTGTCTCAAAGAGCTGCAGCCAAATTGTTGACTGTGACTGGTTATAGGGAACATACAACTGCCTTATGTTCTTATGGGCTTGAAAACATTCTCTCCTTTGCTTTGGGTGTGATCAGCTCACCCTCCCATACGCTACATAGCCTAAGCCATGTGTGGTTCTCTACAAAACTGAGAGCAACATCTTTGGCTGGGTGCTCCCCCTAAAGAAAGGTCAACAAGTTCTGGAACCTCTTTTTCCAGAAAAAAAGCCCTGGAGAAGAGCAATGGAAGAACATGGGCCAAAACTAAGAAAGAACCCCTGATCCAGACCCACGGGCAGCTTGACAAAATGGCAGAAAGAATGCGGATTGATGAATTGCCCTCTGTTTTAACACTCAAAATGTCCGTGGGCTATTGGTTTGTCTCTGCCACTGAAATAGTTTCATGAATCATTATTGAAAGCAAGGGGGCCCATTGCATTTACTGCTGCATTTTAAGGGGAACGAAAGGGTGGTAAGAACTGCTTCACATTAAATAACCTGAAAACTGTGCCTTGTAAGCAAGGAGTGATGATTCTAAATCCACGTTAGTGGCTGCGAAAGTAGAACCAGAGGAAAGAAATGGGATGGGATGGGGAAGATAAGTTAGTGATCTTAAGGAGGCTCGGGGTTATAACAACCAGCGAAGCTTCCTTCCTTGATATCAATAAGCTTTAGAACATAGAGGGATTTAACATATAAAGGTAATAAGTTACACTTGCTAGAGTAGGATTAAAAATGTATGAGATATAAACCTTCCTTCATGCTTAAGGCTACTTCATGTTGAGACAAGATTATCATGTGGCTGGAGTTTGGATGAAACACCCCCATTGGGCACTTGATGAAGAATCACACCTTTGCATCAAGGCAATGTTTTCACATAGAGGGGGAAGAGAGCCGGGAGAGAAAGAAACAGCAGACAGGAGCATTAAGTCATGTGGCTTTCTCAAGGAGCCACTTGTGCTCTTGATGGCTGTGAAGATAACATGCTTCACTACACAGTACAATACTAATCATATGTAATATCATAGCAGTACTAGACCAAATAGCAATCCTAACTATAATATCACATATTTAATTAGTGCAGGGATGTAAACTGCTACTTTTGTCTCATTAGCAGAACTGTAGGCTCAATCCTGCCTGCAGTTATCTAAGCAACTCCCAATAGCTAATGAGAAGTAGAGAAGAGGAGCAAGTTCACAGACTATAGTTTTTGTTAGTGCAAAGGGGAAAGAACAAACACAAAAGCATTTCTGTGCAATCAACATTTCTGCATATGAAACAAAATTGTAAAATTACTTATTACTCAGGGTTTTTTTCCCCCCAGCTGGAACTTGCTGGAACTCAGTTCCGTCACATCTCAGGCGGGTGCCGTTGCCATTATAAGAGAGCAAGGGAGACGTTCACGGTGAGTTCTGACACTTCTTTTTCTAGAAAAATAGCAGTGTTATTATCCATTAGCGTTTTAGACCACATGTTTTGTTTGGTGCACAAAAGGTGCACGTCATCATGGGTAGGTGGTTTACTATATTCTAGCCATGTCTGTCTGCCTCTCTCTCTCTCTCTCTCTCTCTCTCTCTCTCTCTCTCACACACACACACACACACACACACACACACACCCCTTCCATCGAGACAAGCAGGATACATTATTACACTTCAAGAACACCTTCCAGCCAGGCATGGAGCATGGCCAGTGCATGGTGTGGCCTGGGAGGAAGAGATGTGGCCTGAGGAGAGTGCCAAGGGCCAGACAGAGGACTGTAAGGCTGCATGCTAGGAAGACAGGTGCCTCCTCCTTTTTCTGTACTATATGATTATACCCTAAGAATGCCCATCTCTCTGGCCAGTTCACATTTTACAAACACTGAATGAAAGTTGTTGCAATAAGATAGGGGGATGTACTGAATCAAATGACTATTTTTGGGGGGGACGGACCACCTTCTTCTTCTGAGGCCTAGTGGCTGGAGAGCACTTACCCTGCCAAGGACACCCCCACACACTGGTATGCCTGTAGATGCTGGTGGTGGTGTGCCAATGATAAGGTCAGAAATGAAGCACTTTGAGGGCAGGTCTGAGTACATCATGGATGGACAGAGTCATAAGCTGCCTTGTTTTCCCGACTCTCTCCTAAACAGGCCCTGAACTATTAATTTCCTCCCATGACAGTCTGTGCTTGCCCTGGCTTCTCCCCTCACCCCAATAGGATGTCTCTCTTTTAGTCATGCTTTATGTCAGCCCAAGATTCAATTTCTGACATGAGCACTGCAGTTTGGCTGATATTCTGAACATTCTTATGTCCAATTCTTTCTGATTTAATTCCTGTCCGGTGGGAAATGGAAGTTCAGTGAGTCTGTACACACTTTTTTGGACACAATATTATTGATTTGTCTTGTAGACTGCTTTGGGGGTTGGTTCCCACCCCCCCCATCCCAATCAAGCAGTATATAATTTTTATGACCTATCTACAAATAAATAGGTAATTTAACAACCTCTTGGGGTCAGAATCTGATTCCAGCCACAAAAACACCCCCTCCCTCTAGTCGATACTGAACATTGCCAAGAATGACAGAACCATCCACATGTTCAGCAAGAAGGTAATCATGCCATGCATCACCAACCCTGAGACATCTTACAACTGGACATGTGTATCCTAAAGTTTTACTTCTTTCTCTTAAATTGTCCTGACTGGTTACTGCTTGGTGTCTCTTTCTTCATTCCCGCCGTTCTGTACTAACGTCGTGGTTGCTTCAGCAATAGCTTAGTCCTTTTTCACTTGTGGATTCTGAATATCTTACCCATTAATCCTGGTGCTTGTAGTTGTTAATGAAGCAGCAGTATCCTTGTACATTTATTTTCCTTGATGATCATTTTAAAACACAGCTTCAACTGCTTAACAACATAGTAGGCTGAGAAACGGTGTTGAACAATGACATTGTAATTCCTGACTATTAGATTTGATACTTGAGACATATCTCTCATACACAGCAGATTTATGCATTAATCCTATATTTGGGGGGGGGCGTTAATTGCTCAAAATACTTGCTTCTAGATCTGCATTTTCACACATTTTATTTACATGGTTTATTTTTCATTTTATGAACAAATCGATAGCCAGGCGGACTCTTTTACCACACTGGATTAGTTTTATTTATTCTCTTTGAACTTGATTAAAAAGCTGTCAAACATAAGTCTACATTTTATCAGCGGAATACTTTTACAAAACAGGGTAGGGGATGTGTATAGCTGGAAACATACATTTCAGAATAAAACAATATTTGATATATTCTAGACAGTTACCCTTTTGTTTATCCATGACAACTGAAACTAACCATCAAATGTATAAATTGATTCAAGTCTAGCCAAGTAATCCTAAGGGCATATGAAAAGGCTTTTAAAAAAGTTCTTTCTAGATGAATTTAATGCAGTTCACCAATAAAGCATCTTCGGGAGCATAATAAAAATTTCTACAAAACATGACATAGCTGGGGAAAGAGCAAAGTCGGATAAAGTGTTGGAAAATTCAAAATGGATGTTGCATTCAAAATGAGCAATTGGGTAACTTGATGCACTGCTGCTGTTGCATTTGAAACAATGAGGCTCGGGGATTAATTTCATTCTTAAGCTTGCAAATGAAACATTTACACCACCCCAACTTATGATGATTTAGGCTGAGTTTTTGTTATAGGCCTGTGTGAAAATCTATAACCATGTTTTGAACCTGTAGCTTTTCATCATTCGACGTGATTATTTTCCACACAAAATTATTTTGAGTGTACATACCTGTTATTAAGTGATAGACTGCATCACTACACAAATTTAATTGTTCCAAAAGCCAATTTAAACCCATTAACCTCCAACCCTGCTTGTCTGGGAGTGCCATTGCATATGCCTCTAAGCTATCTTTCATCTGGATTTGGCGAAATTGTCAAATCCCAGCTGTAAAATGAAGGCATGCAAAATGGCAAAGCCCTGGGGGCGGAGTGCTGGCAGAGAATGATTCATTCAAAGGGTTAATGCTGAGTACATATAAGCAAATATTGACAATGTATTTTTATTCCAATGTTTGGAAATTTAAAGACAAAATTGTCATTAAGTTTTCACAAAACGAGGCATCTGTCACTTGAGGGGAGAAGAAATGTTTCAGAAAGATGTTTACAGAAA